ATTTATTCCTGCTGAATTTTCAGCATCATTACTCCAGTCTTCAGTGTCCCATGTCCTTCAGAAATCATTTGAATATGCTGATTTGCTGCCCAAGAAAACTTTTTTCATATTATCAGTGTTGAAAATAGTTGTTACCTAATTTTTAAGGAAGCTGCGTTAATGTATATCAGTTAGATAACACATCAAGCAAAGGTTTATATAGTATTATAGAGTATGAAAATGCTGTACTGTGCGTGGGGGTTATTTTGTGCATGCATTCGGGCTGTTTTTTAAGTCTAGTCCCTGCTCAGAGAAGTGAAACAACTGAGAATAAGGTGCTTTTTTGTTAAAAGAGTAAGTGCATTATTAACTGTTGTGAGTCAAGTGCTCTGATGGAGTTGTTCCAGGCTCTTCAGATGGAGATGAAAGATCCTTCCATCTCTGACGTACAGTGAAAGTGGTTTTGTTGCTTTTGTGTAGGTGCCACAAGGTTCAATTGACTCAGAGACTTCTGCAGGGAACATACATTTATAAAAGTGTACCGAACTTGATGCATGCAGTAACTGACAGCCAGTGGAGTGAGAACAACAAAAGTGTGACATGGGTTCTCTTGAGCTTGTTGAAGGCCGATCACACCACCTTGTTCTGGTTAATATGCAGATGCACATGCATGAAGATTTGCAAAATGAACATTACAGTGTAGTTTAGGCTAGAGATGACCAGAGCCTGAACAAGCTTTGTGCATGGTTGGATAATAAAGTATTGTAGAGTGCCAAATCCTCATGATTTGTATCCCCCTAAGCTTAATAAATCATATTAAATAAATATTCATAAGCACACAGACATCTCTGCAACTTTGATGCACTCAAGAGCAATAAGAGCTCACATTTCATTGAATCACTGTCATTCGGCATTTGCATTCAGATTTTTCGTTCCACAACACTGTTGTTTTTGTCTCATATTTGTCTGTCTCTAAATATAAGTCTAAGTGTTTTGGGAATTCAGCTTCAAAGATCTGTGTTTATCCAGGGAGAGTGATTCACATGAGAAATCTGGATTTGAGACGTTAGTGAATAAAATAATCTACTTTCAGCAGATGATTTAAAATGGCTGTGCTTTTCTGAAAAAAAAAAAAGTACTAAAAAGTTTACCTACTCACCCTCAGGCCATCCAAGATGTAGGTGGGTTTGTTTCTTCATCAGAACAGATTTGTAAAAATTTAGCATCACATCACTTGCTCACCAATGGATCCCCAGCAGTGAATGGGTGCTGTCAGAATGAGAGTCCAAACAGCTGATAAAAACCTCACAATAATCCATAAGTAATCCACACGACTCCAGTCCATCAGTTAACATCTTGTGAAGTGAAAAGCTATGTTTTTGTAAGAAACAAATCCATCAAGGCATTTTTAACTTTAAATCATTGCTTCTAACTAAAATACAAATCCTATACATAAAATTGCTTTCTCCAATAAAAAAATAATATTTTCTGAATCAGGAGAGAAATATGTTCTGAACAAATAAGATATGAAGATTTTGATGTAAGAGAACAACAGAGGATGGACTTTTTCACTGGAGGAAGTGTTATTATGGATTATGGACTCTATTTTGGCCAGAAGCAATACACTGAAAAAAAAGATTTATTGAATTTACTATTTTTTTTAAGGTAAGTGGTTGCAATCAATTTATTTTAGCTACATTTAAATACATTTAGTTGACTAACTTTGAATTTTTTTTTTAATGTAGCTAAAATAAATGGTTTGCAACCACTTACCTTACATTTTTTTTAGTAAATTCAATGTATAATTTTTTCAGTGTGGTTTAAAGTTAAAATGACTTAATGTTTCATTTTCAATTATAATTTTTGGGTGAACTGCTTCTTTAAGGTGCTTTACTTTCTTCAAGCAAAAAAGCTCCAGTACATGGCACAGTTATACAGTGGGGCAAAAAAGTATTTAGTCAGCCACCAATTGTGCAAGTTCTCCCACTTAAAAAGATGAGAGAGGCCTGTAATTTTCATCATAGGTATACCTCAACTATGAGAGACAAAATGAGAAAAAAAATCCAGAAAATCACATTGTAGGATTTTTAAAGAATTAATTGGTAAATTCCTCGGTAAAATAAGTATTTGGTCACGCCTCTGCGTACATTCCTGCAACACCGTTTTTACGTACCTTACTGCACGTTTCGCCGCAGCTTCAAAGAGAAATGTCCACTGAGTGGCGCTAAAACACGGGTTCAATACGTGAACCCTGGTACGTTTTTATTACGTTGATATAGGTACGTATTGCTGTGTTTTTATTACGTTTCTTCAGGTACGTATTGCGGTGGTTCAGAATTCAAATATCCGGGGACTGTCGCTAAAAGTTAATGCTCTATCATGTTGGAAATATGCCCTACACCAAAATATTCCAACCCAGTCTCATAAAAATACGTACCTCTGCGTACATATCTGCAACACCGTTTTTACGTACCTTACTGCACGTTTCGCCGCAGCTTCAAAGAGAAATGTCCACTGAGTGGCACTAAAACACGGGTTCAATACGTGAACCCTGGTACGTTTTTATTACGTTGATATAGGTACGTATTGCTGTGTTTTTATTACGTTTCTTCAGGTACGTATTGCGGTGGTTCAGAATTCAAATATCCGGGGACTGTCGCTAAAAGTTAATGCTCTATCATGTTGGAAATATGCCCTACACCAAACCCAACCCTAAACCTACCCGATAGTGTTAACAAATGCAAAACTGATATAAAAACAAATTTTTTTATGCAACCGTGCCATTTTAACTTCCTTATATGCAGATTTGTTGAATTTTTGTTGAACCATAGTTACACGGGATTCAAACCAGAGCTTTTTGCCCCTCAAGTACGTCGCCATACTCCGTGAGCTACCGAGCAAACCTACCGTCAATGAAAACCCATAGATATGAAGCTGGATAAGTGCGATGCTAACAATCAAAAGCATCAGTTTTCAAGTCTCCCAGCATATTAAAAATGTTTTGAAGTCACGACATAAAACTCTTCAAGAAATTGTGCGAAAATTACACTTTATTAATCGAAACTCTGTAAATCATACTCTGTGTGAAACTAATTTAAAAGGTGTCAGAGTTTTACTGCCTCTAGTGGAAACTGCAGTGATATGTACTTATTGGTACGTATTTCACGTCTTGCAAAAATGTGCCCCCAGGTACGTATTTGCCATGAGACCGGGTTGAAATATTCAGATGTGTGCAGCGCATTTTATGGAGGACTGTTTCCTGATCCTGGTAGATTAGACTACAATGCTGGCTGTTCTGACTCACAGTCTGTAAGTATGTTTTCATATTTAAAGAATTTGCCACTGATGATTCAAACGCGAGTTTTGAGGAGTGTAGAGTAGCGCTTGTTGTTTGTCATTTCTCCGGTCACAAATGCAGACATGGTTTTATGTTTACGCGGCGTGATGCAACGAAACGCTTAAAAAGACAGTATAAGTCATTATAATCCGTAATTATGTCCCCACTGGATGCAACAAATGCCTGTTTATTATGGGTTTTATTGGATTTGTCTCAATGCTCCAGGACACTGCATCACAGTATGGTAGGGGCGTAACATTTCCGTCACACGCTTGAGGTATTCGGCCAATCACAACGCACTGGATAGCTGGCCAATCAGAGCACATCTCGCTTTTCAGACCGATAAACACATTTCATCACTGGGGAAGTCGTGGCCTAATGGTTAGCGAGTTGGTTTCATAACCCAAAGGTTGCAGGTTCAAGTCTCATACCGGCGCTCTCTCCCACCCTCAATACCACAACTGAGTGCTGTGTGTGTGCACTTAGGATGGGTTAAATGCAGAGCACTAATTCCTAGTATGGGTAACCATACTTGGCCACATGTCATGTAACTTTCACTATACACAAAATAATGTTCTTTTTAGCAACATCATATGACCCCTTTAATAATAAGACCAAATCAGTATCATGTGACTGTAGTAATGATGCTGAAAATTCAGCCTATCCATCACAAAAATAAATTAAATTTTCAAATTTATTCAAATAAAAGTTATTATAAATTGTAATAATTTTTTCACAATATTACTGTTTTTTCTCTATTTTGATCAAATAAATGCAGCCTTGGTGAGCAAACTAACAGACGTCTTTCAAAAAGATTTTAACGTTTTACAGACCCCAAACTTTTGAACTGTAGTGTATATATGTACATAATAAATATTAATAATTGATCATGAGTATTAGTATCAAGCACATATTTCCTCTTTCTTCTAATACTTAAGTAAGATAAGATGTTATCAGACACATAATAAAATAAAGCACACGCTCCCACAGACTCGCTGCATGGATGCTGCAATCAGTCAAACACAACAGGCTGTTTTCTTCAGTTTGACACTGCGCGCTTGTTCACCAGTGATTCGGTGGGGAAATTGGCCTGTGTGGAGTAGTAATCCTGAAACAGCCTCATTAGCCTCTGTGGCTTTTAACAAAAGGACAGGCGCTTAAGAATCTCAGCGGTGCTGTGGAACCAACACGCGGGTGTCCAATCAGCCTGCGGCGGTGGCCCAAAAGCACACTCTCACTGCTAGGTTCAAAGTGCTCTCCAGATGAAGGGAGCACCAGATATTAAAAATCGTACGTTTTGTTTGCATGTCAGAGATGACATTTAATGATAGAAAAAAGCCAAGTGCGTAAAAAACAGGATGCAATTGGTACGTATTTCACGTCTTGCAAAAATGTGCCCCCAGGTACGTATTTGCCATGAGACCGGGTTGAAATATTCAGATGTGTGCAGCGCATTTTATGGAGGACTGTTTCCTGATCCTGGTAGATTAGACTACAATGCTGGCTGTTCTGACTCACAGTCTGTAAGTATGTTTTCATATTTAAAGAATTTGCCACTGATGATTCAAACGCGAGTTTTGAGGAGTGTAGAGTAGCGCTTGTTGTTTGTCATTTCTCCGGTCACAAATGCAGACATGGTTTTATGTTTACGCGGCGTGATGCAACGAAACGCTTAAAAAGACAGTATAAGTCATTATAATCCGTAATTATGTCCCCACTGGATGCAACAAATGCCTGTTTATTATGGGTTTTATTGGATTTGTCTCAATGCTCCAGGACACTGCATCACAGTATGGTAGGGGCGTAACATTTCCGTCACACGCTTGAGGTATTCGGCCAATCACAACGCACTGGATAGCTGGCCAATCAGAGCACATCTCGCTTTTCAGACCGATAAACACATTTCATTACTGGGGAAGTCGTGGCCTAATGGTTAGTGAGTTGGTTTCATAACCCAAAGGTTGCAGGTTCAAGTCTCATACCGGCGCTCTCTCCCACCCTCAATACCACGACTGAGTGCTGTGTGTGTGCACTTAGGATGGGTTAAATGCAGAGCACTAATTCCTAGTATGGGTAACCATACTTGGCCACATGTCATGTAACTTTCACTATACACAAAATAATGTTCTTTTTAGCAACATCATATGACCCCTTTAATAAACTTTTGAAAATAATGGTTCCAAAAGGGGGTTTTCGCAGCGATGCCATAGATGAGCCATTTTTTGTTTCCCAAAGAACCTTTCTGTAAACTTCTTTAAAGAACCCTTTTTTTTAAAAGAAGCTTTTTTTCCAGCTGTTGAACAATAAAAACATTGACAGTCAGTCAGAATCCATCCTGCATTAGAGATATTGAGCATTTAAAGTGGAAGACAACATAAGTACAGTATGCATATTTAGTAATGAGAACAATACAGTGCATGGATGTGAATGCTAATATAATTAATGATATAGTAATCATTCTCGGTGTGAATGGGCCTTAATGTGGTTAGCTGGTCGCCCAGTCTGGCCAACCTGGAATGCATTTCCAAACAAAGACATAATTCTCTGCTTAACTTTAGTACAATGCATTGTTTGGGAATCTAACCAGCTAGTCACAACTGTTTCCTGAAAACATAGTTGCACAGCCATTGTTTGAAACTCTTTGGTTAGAACTGTCATTAATGACATCAAGCCAGTATTGGAGTAAGAACTACTGCTAATTAACCAGTTAACCATCAAATTAATGTGTGGTTACATTAATGTCTGGAAACACCAAATAGTTTAACTATGTTGGTAACAACAGCACTTGCTACCATAGTTGGCTTACTATGCTTTTGGGAAAGCTGGTTAGGCTGGCCTGATTTGGTGGTTTTAGATGAATTTTGAACATTTGTCAACCAGCTGAACACCATGCTGGGAAACCTGCTCGACCAGCTTAAACCAGCTAAGACCAGCAAACCATGTTAGGCAGGGTGTAACAAGGAAGTGCTTGTATGAAGAGTTTCTCCAAAACTCTATTTGGGTACTAAAGCCTCTCTGATGACAGCGTTAGTGTGTGTGTGTGTGTGTGTGTGTGTGTGTGTGTGTGTCTGTGTGTGTGTGTGTGTGTGTGTGTCTGTGTCTGTGTGTGTGTGCATTTAAAGCTGCAAAGCTGCTTTAATAACACAGCACACACACTGCATCTGTTGATGAAAGCGGGCTCAGTGTCCATCAGCAGCGGTCAGCACTTCT